CCAGTTCGAAGTCGCGGAAACGTCGCAGGTTCTTGTGGGATTAGATCATTTTCAGGAGCTGGCAACGAGTCCAGTGGAGTGGAGGGAATGAAAGCCCTCTACAAGAAACATTTTTGAGCCCTCCATCTGTGGTAAAAAAAAGAACCAATCCGAAATAGATGACAATGGCGTATAACATATTATGCTACGAACTGATCGTGGTTTCGGACTCCAGTGAACCGGAAATCCTTGAAAAAAATGTTCAGCTCAGGAAGGGCTTAAACTATCTGCAGTAGAACACCAACAAAGCAAGAAAATCTACAGATATCTAGAACAAGGCTCTGAGTAAATCATGTTTTTCGATCATAGTAGAGCGCCGTCTTGTGACCTGTGTGGATGGCAAGCATTCCTGTGAAACCCGAAAATTAGAGCCCCTTTACGAAGAAATCGGTCAGACGACAGGGTAGCTGGAACTTATTCATGACTCCGTGAGCTCACCAGAAGTACTAATGCTCATCTAAAAGGTCAGGCTGACTGTGCTTTTCATGAGCTCTCCTTCTAGAATTCCTTGTTCAACATCTTTCCCAATGTCAGATTCTTCAGACCAACAACGACTTTCTAGTGGACGACATCTGTTGAAAGATAAGTGAATGACCCCTTGAATTGGCATTAAAACTTCTGCCAAGTCTACAGAGTCGTCAGCCAAATTAATTGTTCCAGCTACCCTGCCGTGGGACTGATTTCTTCTGGATATCGAGCCTTTTATCATGACCAAATGGCGAAGGGTGTTTTGCCATCCACATGTGCCGTAATTCCTTTGTGTGGAGACAGCACTTTAAAATGAAAGCCACGAAAGAGTATTTACTCCTTTTAGACATCTGTCGATTTTCTTGCTTTGTTGGTGGTCTGTGCTGAAAGTTTCGACTTCTCCTGAATTGAACATTTTTTTGGAGAATTCCCGGTCCAGAGGGTTTGAAAATTGCGGTCAGCCTATAACCTTGTTACCTTCGGCTGCCATAAAATCAGCTTCGAGGTAGCATTTCCACCGCTATATTTGTTTTCAGCTCATGTCTGAGTGCAGTCCATGCATGTTCTAGTGCAGTCCATGCGAATGCCTGCTATCGTCGTTGTGATTTTCAGCATTTCGTTGATTGCAAGGTCCTTCGCTGTTTCTGAGCGTTTTGAATACGGATTCCACTATCCATTTTGACTTCTACTAATTTCTCTGCCAGTATTTGCGCTGCTTTTATAACATAAAAGAACGTAATATTTTTGTCCGCTATTTGCGCAATTCGTTTGTAATTAAATCTATTGTGTTCTGAGGAGCAATTTCAGCATCTGTTTTGATCTTTGAGGGGTTCTCTACGAGTAGGTTTATCTGTTGTCCCTGTCCTGCATGCCAACGACAAATGACCATTTTATGGTTACACTTCATTATAATTGGACCGCTGAATGATATGCTTATACCTTGAGCCTAGTGCTAACCTTATTGTTGATTGTATGGCCAAGTCTGTTTTCAGCATAAACCTCGGCGGCATTCTCTCTCTTAGTTGATTCATGAGGTTTTCAACTGCTTGGCTGCATTGAGCATTGAGCCCTGCTTGACGCAGTTTTAACGATCCGCAGATTGAACGATCTTCAAAAAAATTTGTTAGAACGGTCTCTGGCCACGTCGGATAGCAGTATTTCGACCACCGTAACCGGCTGACATCATCTGATTTATTGAAACCTGGACTTGCTTGAAGGTAAACAGGCAGTTGTCAGCGAAATTGCTTGCTCCTTTCATATTTACGAGATTCTGAACAATTTGCAATCTATTCACTGAATATCCAATGAGTTCTCTGGAGGGTCCTGTAACTTATGTAGGTACGTAGTTTTGAGGTGTAGTGCTAAATACCCATTGGGAGTAGCTAATTTACTCTCTCTATCGACGGTTTCTTTAGCAGAACGAATTTTTCCTCACAAGCTTCAACTTTTACTTCAAATTTTTTTTCTCTATTTAAAGACACATCCTTGAGATGTTAACTGTTATAAACAAATAAATACATAAATATTACTGATTACCTCAGTATGACATCCAGCGTGTTCGTCCGCAATTTACCTACTAATAGAAATTGCAAAGTCACATCAACTGTATCATCCTGAAGTTGCTCACTTAGTATTGTTTACATGTGCGATTGATAATAAATAAATAAAGAAACTAAACACTACTTTACTCATTTCTCAATGCATTGGTGTCTCAAATATTGACAATTAACGAAAAATTCTTTAGCTTCATAAAAAACACTCGAGAAGCTTGTGAAGATTTTACAGACTGCCTCAGCAGTCTACTCGATCGGTTGAGCTGTGTTGTTCTTTTTTTTTTTCCACCATAGTTGGTGTAGTCGGCTCCGTCACTGTGGATTTTTTGCTGAGCATCCTCTGCTTGACCGTTTTGAAATATTGAATCGTTTGCTACTAGATTGTTTCTGCCGGATTTTTGAGTGATATAGCTCAATCTGATGCCTATTCTATTCTTCATCCTGACTCGTCTAGCGGAGCTGTATTAATACTGGGAGTCGGTATTGCTCGTTGTAATTAAAATTTTTGTTCATTCATTTAACTCAATTTCGAGCACCAAGTCCTTTTTATTCGATTTTCTCTGCTCCTGAGCTCTCCTCTTATCTCGTTGTACAATTTCCGAAGGTTCTATCTGAGGTGACTCTGAGTTTTTTTTATCTGAGGTGACTCTGGTTTTCTGAGGTGACTTTCTGAGAGCGCTACTTTCATTCATCGCAATTTCCTTGTCTGCGGTTGTGTACTCTATGCTAACGGTGCTCTTTGTAGATGGGTGTTTAATCAAAATTCAGAGCCCTTTCACTTTGGAATAACTTCGACTTCTGCAAATTAGGGCCTTTCAGCACTGCACTACTTGTTGTTGAGCGACTTGCTGCTTTTTTGGGAAAAGCCCTTGCAAGAATGTGGCTTCTGGTAATAAGAACAGGAGCACTTCCTTTCCTCTACTAATTTAGAGCGAATTCTTTATTAGAGGTGTGATTTTGGCGAATAGAATGAAATTGGCAAATGTACGTGGCGGTCAGTGGGTTTAGAGGAGAGATACGAAACAGTATTTAGAACCGCTTTGTTGCTATTTATTTCAGGTACACACGGGTAGTATATGGACCAGGGGGTGACGACTCGGGCGTGAGGTGTGGAGGAAAAGGTGTCCGAGAGACGATGACAGCTGGCTGGTTCTACTTCATCAGAGTCGCCGAGAGATAGCTTCACAGATAAGACATAGTTTATTACTGCGATAGCTGGCTGCGGAGGAAAGACAAAAAGGTGGCCGCTGAGCTGCTCCCTTACTGGACTCGGCCGCTTACGGACACGGCCTAATTCTTGAAGCTAGGCGTTAATCTAAGTGGACGGGACAGCGTAGTGATTAGCCTGCAGAAATATCGCTTGCAATTTGCTGGGAGGTAGAAATTCGCATGTATAGATGGTGGGAACGGCTGGAGTGAACTATTGGAGGTAGATATCCTATCATGAATCTGAGTACGAAAGCGAAAGAACATATGCTGAAATGCCCCAAATGAGACGCCTTCTTTTTCCAGAGCTGGATTCTAGCTTCGGAGCTAAAAATGTAAGACGAGACAATCATGCTGGAAAAACCGCTTGCTCCGCTGCAGTGCATGCCCCCCATGCCCTCCCGGACACGCCAGTTTTTTGCCAAGGATAGATAAACTCTACTACATTCCATGCCCACAGCGCGATCATGTCCAGGGCCTAGAATACACGATGTTTGGGAGCTGTGAGAGTGGCTGCGGTTACACCTGCGTTGTGGCGAAGAGGGAATGAAGCGTTGTATGCGGGTGGCATACGCTGTGCTGTCACGCAATTACAAAACTTTGTTGTCTCACGATGCCATCTTACAATCTCACGACTAAGTCATTCTTGAAGCTTCCTTTACCGCTGATATGGTGTGATGCTATCTTTTATGAAATAAGAGTTTGTGGACGTTCAAGAAGATGAAGGTATTTGACAGCCGAGCCCGATGAGCTCGACTCATATTTCGAGCGTCGGGCTTCACACGGAAAAAAGCGGTCAAGTTATTCTTGGCTTATGGTTCCTTGAAAAGGAACTTTTGGCCAACGTGCGTGTCATCGCTAAATATACAATGAGTCTTGTCAAGTATTCACACAGACTGTAGATGAAGTAGAAGAAAAGTAGAGATTCCAAACCTACCAACTTAATATATCGCAGCGATCGCCTGCTGTGTAACAGTTTCTGTATTTCTGGAGGGAGCAAAATATTCTTTCAGACATATCCAGTCAGTCATGGAACATAAATTACACTCCTATACCGCTCGGCCAGTTAGGCGTGGCATGGTGGAACATGGCACGGAACTGGTTTACTCGTGAATATTTCCAGCCTGGGAGGCAAAGTTTTTTTCTTTGTTAGCTAGAGACACACGACAACAATTGTGTCCAGATTGATAAAGTATCTTCAACAAAAAGCACTAGTACCTCTCAGGTTAAGGTGAAACATGCGACACGCTACGCTACCCGATTCTCAGGATTCGAGTATATATTGAATCGCAAAAAAGTTACTATACTGTGAGTAGTCACTTACATACAGATGATTTGCTGGTTATCCATAATTAGTGTGAAAATGATATGGAATCAACAACATAATGAAGTTCACAAAAACAGCCATCAGTTAAAAGAACTCTTCTATCTGAGTACCTAGTAATTGTCCGAAGTTAGAAATCAATATACTGAACGGCAAAATCAACTTGTGCAATTAACAGATTCCTTCAGCGTGGAGACAGTTAATTTAAAAAATTTTTATTAGAAATGAACTGACATGTTACAGTATATGTACATACTCAACTGCCAGACATGCCTATATTTAGCAATGGTGTCGATAGAGAAAGATGATCTCCTTACTTTCCACCTAAGCAAGGTATTTATACCCCCCCCCTCCCTATGTATAGCTGTAGTGAAACGGACTGATAAAAGGCAGGAGAGCCCTCATCGTAAACGGTCCTTGCATTCTTCTCAGCAGCATTTTAAAATGATGAACACTGTGTCCATGAGCCAAACGCGTACTAGAAACTAAACAAAACGGAAACTGAACCGCTTCTCTAAAGAACCCCTCTCCCCAAGTTTATTGATTTAAAGTTCATATCTGGACAATATATTTATCTTGAACAAGATAGAGCAGAGGAAGAAAAACTTGGAACAGGTCAACTGTAGCCCTTTCAATGGGCTTCGTCAGTTCTTGTTTTCGGAGATCACCGGCAAAGCCGTCCGGTCCTCCTTCCGCGTGTGAAAGTGGCTTCCGCTGAGAAGTTTTCCATGGGAGGGAGGGCCAGTCGGATCGACTTATTCTCGTTCATCTGCGTATACTATACAGTGAGGGGCCAAAAAAGTCTCGACCTACTCAGATATTCCATCTTTTTCAGGTTTTCAGTCCCCTAGTAGGCGAGTGTTTCTCCAACGCCCTTCGATTCCATGTGGTGGCACCCAATGCTGTAGCAGTACAAAGTTTCCAAGAAGGTACGGGCGACGACATGTGAGGAGGATATTCTTCACGAGTTGCTCGATGTAACCGCCAGCGCTCACCTTCAGTCCGGGGTCCACGAAGAAAATATTGGTCTTTCCATTCCAGGTACGTCCGGTCCATACCATCAACCCGCGCCTTGGCGACTGCGGTGAAGATGATGTCCTAGACCGTGGCGACGTTGTCGGAGCTGCTCGATGTTGGAGGTCATCCAGATCGAGAGTACTGGTCTCCAGGTAGCTATATCCATGGGTGACTCCATACTAGAAGTTTCGCAGCTGTTTGGAGGTGACATGAATTCCAAAGGTCTTCTCCAGTCAGGCTGCGACTGGAGATGACTTCATATTTTGGTGTACATGAAGGTGATGGGCGAGCCAGCTCCTGCTTATCGAGGAACATCTTGGGTATCTTCCGCCCTGGTACTCGTATCCACGTCCTCTGTCTGGGCAGCGAAAACTTTGCTGATATGTGACTCGGTCGAAGTGACTTTTTTGGGCCCCTGTTGTATATGCGTATAGTTAGAGCATCACACACAGTATTCAACAGATGCATGGTTCTCATATTAACACTATTGCTACTTGAATTTGCTAGCTTCACAGTTTTTTTTTCACCATTATCTCTCGGAAATTTATCGAATTCCATTATTCTTCCTTTGAATGCTAATGAGCACAGAAGGAAGACCACGCTCTTGCTGGCTTTAGGCACGTGCGAAAAGGAAGCTGAGCTGCCTATTTGCTTTTGGCCCTCTCAATTTTTCATATTTGTTTCAAGCTATTCGGAAATGGATCAACCATCATTTTTAAATGGTCAATATATTTTTTTTCATTTTCCATGGTTGTTCTTCTGGGGAGGGGCATGAGTAGCGGTTTTTTCTGCCCTGTGGCGCTGCTTAACATTCACGGAATATTATTTTTAAAATCTTAATGTAGCGAAAACAATGTTGAATCGTAGTATCAACGTCATTATATGACTAACTTTGTAACTCCTTTACTGTAGAAGAACGTCATCATCATCGTCTAGACTGTTGCCGTAGATAGCGTCTGAAAATCGAGCGAAACCCTTCCCTGACATGTACAGATCATGCGACCAGCTTTAAGATCAGCCTTGGGAAATGCAAGTGAACATACAGTTCTCATCACGGATGGTCACAACAGCCTGAGAGCCTTTATTTTATTGCCTTCCGTAAAAGGCGATAAAGCAAAAGCTAAGTCAACGTGTTACTGTTACCGAGCTTTCCGAGGACTTAGGTGAGAAGAACTGGACAAGTCTTTGTCGTAAACACAGACATCTGTCGGAAATGTCCTTATCTGCTGGCATAACATTTGAGAAGTGTTGTGTATTGGATAGAATTGTGGTTCTTAAATTCAGAACTTTCCCAGACAAACATTCTTGAGTGGGAGTAGGTATGGT